ACAGCATCTCAACAGCCATTGTCTGCAGCCATAAACTGCAGATTATCAGATGCAGATGAGAAATTACTTAGACTTTGTAGCTGGAGCCTATGCTTGGTTCCCCTCTTTTCCTTGCAGCCAACTTGCACTGGCTGCTTCCCCAAGGTTGCAAGAGCAAGCTTGGAAAAGGGCTTTTGGAGGCATAGTGAGGGGGGAAGGAGAAGATTAGTGCCTCCAGGCCATGAAGCATTATGTTAGCACCTCAGCCTCCTTCACTCCTCCTCTGAAGCATAACACTTAGGTGACTGAAAGTGGCCATTCAAGTGCTTTCCAGAGCAAAAAGAACATGAAGGTGATCCTTGCCTTAATGCTCTGCCCACCCTCCACTGGATGCCTGCAACCTTCCATGTCCAGAGGACTGGAACATGCAAAAAAGAAAACCTCTTGAAGCAGGATCTTTCTTGTAACTGGATTTTTCAGATGAGGCTGCATCATAATTTTATATATAGCATTAAATGCTTGCTGTTAAAAAATCCCTTTCCTGGGATTGAAATTGTCCTTTGAATTTTTGTAGGAGCCAAACACTGCAAGGTCTCTATAATCATTGAAGCTGACTTGCAATGGTAGTAACTCAGGAAGCTGCTTTCCTGTGTTAATAAAAGGATATTGAACAATGGAACTGATGTAAACTGGGGACTGGCTAACTTCCCATTGCACCAACCACAAGTGGGCATTTTAAAAGGAATCCCATCAATGCCCAAGTTTTCAACCTGAGCCAAAGTATTAAGGATTTGAGAATTTAAAACTGCTGTAGCTACAGAGGGTAATTCAAGGCCCTTTGCCACCCATTCTCAGGATGATACTCCTGATTTTGAAAAGGCACCCTTTCTATAAAGTGCTGTCCTCAGTTCCATTTGGTGCTGAATTTCTGCACACCTTGTAATGCTTTACCAACCCCAAAGCATCGACCAAATTTCAGACAGTATCCAGATCTTCCTTTCTGCAAGATTTCAGTTTCTCTCTGAACAGATGGTGGGTGTGAATGGGAAATGGTTTTACTGAAAAGTCATGTTTGTAATAAACTTGAACACCAGTGAGTATGCTCAGTGGGTTTTCAGTAATTTAATCTTGTTCAGCCATTGTTTTTTTAAAGGCAACACCCATCATGTTCAAATGTCTGCCACTTGCCTTTTGTCTGAAAAGAAAACTTGAATTCTAAGTGAAAGGAAATGTTTGGCACTTCCCAAATATCTCAAGTGACTCAAGTATCCTGTTTGGACAGTGATCAACCCTAATGAACAGAGACTTAAGCTATGAACGAAACAGACCTTTGACATCTGCCATTGACATTCTGTAGCATAGCTAGATATACCATGCCTCTACCTGCATGTAAGTATTCATGTTGCAAGAATTCTGAAGGGGCATTATTATGAACTAACTTGTTTAAAGTTCATTCAGACCCATTACAGTGGTCATTTCAAGTGTGTGTGCTCTGCAGGAGTTGCTGGTCTGCAAGGAATTGGTTGACAACTCAATTAAAGGCTCCTATGAGCCTGATGTGGACACTGCCCATTGCATCATTGCATGCTTCCCTTTTCTGGTCTTGCAATCAACTTCAGCTGCAAACAGATGAAGGACCAAAATATGCTCTTGGGTTCTTAGTACTCCTGAGGGAGAATTACCTATCCTAAGAAGAGGCTGGCCTTTTTGCTTTTGCATTTGCTTCCTGCCTATCACAAGATATGCTCAGGTAAATGGTTTATGCACAGGTCCACTAAGTGGGCACCTTTGAGAGTTGGTCTTTCTTATTTGGAGGTGCAGTAATCTTGTAGGTGCAAGAGACTAAATCTTTTCAGGAAAAAAATGTGTCTTTACTATCAGAAGTTTTGAAACACTAAAGTCAGCCATTTGTCAAATAATTGTTCCTATTGCAGTAAAAGTAACTTTCCTACCACCTCACAGTGGATGATTAGATAATCTAGGACTGTAATCTAGTTGTCCCAGATTAAATTTTAAACCTTCTACCTGAATATTTTGCATTTTAGAAAAGTGGTTTCATATCATATCTTGAAATAAAATATTAAACATTGCTCTAAGTTCCTCATTTCCAGAATAATTTCCCATCGTGAATTGTCACAAAATAGTGGGCAAACTTTCTAGTTCATAGAATGCTACTTTGGGCAATACAGGGAGGCAGTGGGGAGAGACAGGAACACTTGGTTTGATTGTGGAACCACAATGTCTATGCTTAGTCAGAGTATGTAGCATAGGGAAAAAAAGTCGCATAGGAGGAGATTGTAGGCTTACTTTGATTGGGCGGTACTTGGTGCTATGCAGTTCTCAAGCTGAACTTATGGCTGCTGGGAAAAAGAAGCAAATAATGGCTAATGAGATGGACCATACTTAAGCTGTTGAACACTGGCTTTACATGCAGAAGCTCCCAAGCTCGTTCTTTCCCATTTCCAGACAGGGCTAGAAAATGTTCTGTTGAAATTCTAGAGCGCCACTGCCAGTCAGTGTCAACAGTACCGGGATAGATGGAGCAAGGGTCTGACTCAGAGTAAGCATTTTCCTATGTTCTTGAGTACACATTTGGAAAACATAAAATGTAAATAGAGTAGAGTACAACAGTTACTCAGCTTCATCTCCATCAGCCCTAAGCAAAACCTACTGGATCTTTGAGAGGAAGAGGACAGATTTTTTTCTAAAAAGAGATTTTTATATTATCAAAGCTAGACATTCATTTCAGGTGGTGCATAAATGTTTGGAGTCACATGGTGTTTTTGTAACCTCTCTTTATTTGCAGATATTGCAGGTTGGGAAGCAAGCATGGAGAGAGGCATTGCTAACCCTAAAAGATATAACAATATCAGCCCAACATAATGAAGCAGCACTCTTCTGGCAATATAATAGGGTAGAGCACAACTAAAAGTTCACACACAAATGTGCTAAGAATATATCAGACATTTTGTTGTGGGAATGTAATTGTTCCCTAGTATGTCAAGTGAAAATATAACCTTATGGGGTCATTTCCTGTTTAATCACTTTTGGTTGGTGGCTGCACTAATCAAATGGGGTTGAATCCCCATTTAGTCATGACTGACTTAAGTCCCATTGATTTCAGTGGATCTAAGTATGACTAAGTCTGCATTCAGCCCATGGAATTTGCAGCTCACAGCTACAAGCAGGATGAGTGTTGAAAGTCTTCCACTTCTATATATGGCAGGAAAATTATTATGTTGGCAGTTATACTAAGAAATTGCATTCTGCAGCTGGTTGGCAAGAAGCAGTCAAGTATATCTAAAGTGTAAGAATAAACTCTGCTTGAGAGGAGTGATGGTCTTGTAAGGGCAAGCACCAATGGTTTGTGCACTCATGGGCTCTGATTCTGCCCCAGACTACTATACTGTTTAAGACTGGCACAGCTGCAAATGCAGACATACTTCAGATTAAACCTCAGTGGAGTCATTGGAGCCTTCATGGGATTATGCTGCTTGGACCCTTTAAATATGAACTGTAAACTTGCTTTTCAACTATGATTTACCCAGAAGAGGCAATGCAACTATACTACTAATTCCTAATCTAGAAAAGGACAATATTTAGGGCTTATGAGCACTTTTGAAAATGTGAGGAACTATCCTTGGATGCAATCATAAAATGACTGCCATGGGTGAGCTTGGCTACTCACAAGTAACATTACCAGAGGCATTCCTGGGAAATTAAGATTGTATCAACAAGAGATTCCCACTTTTCTTTGAAGCAAATTCCAGGTGGATGCCAGTATGAAAATAAAGTGATATTTTAAAAGTAAAAATTGAAAGGAGTGTTTTGGTGGGTACCAAGAAAATTGTCTAAATGCACATTGATGTCCATGGGCATCATATCATCTACCCCTTTCTAATTCTTTTCTGTGTGCAAACTGTTAACAGATGAAGTATGAATCTGTACATAATCATTAGTTCCAAATTGAACTTGGAATAATGGATCAGCCCAAGTTAGGCTACTATTTCTCATGTTCACCCATATGTTTAGACATTTCTGTGGCTAATACAAAGGGATGGCACCATACCTGGACAAGCAGCCTCAAAGATAGGCTCAGCCTAAAGTTAATCAGCACATTCGGAAGCACAGCATATTGTTTAGCAATATGGCTCCTGTGTTACTTCATACCAGAAGTGGGAGTGAAATTGCAGGTGTGCAATCCCTTTCCAGGCACACAGCAAAGCTGCACATCAGGAAGACTTCTAAAACAGGAGTAAGGGTTCTTCCAGGGCCTCAGATCCCACATGGGCCTGCGTCCTGACATCTTTCCCTCAGCGATTATAAATAGCCTCCACTTCCCTTGCAAACATGCTGAGCATGTTAACCAAAAATGTCTCTGAAGCTTCTGAAGCTTATGGTTCACGGTTGTATGACACTTCATCACTGCATCTTATGCCAGTAATATATACCTGCCCATACTCCCACATTTCCACCACTGTCTGCTGTCTGTAGGGATAGATAGAGTCTATTGAACATTCAAGTTCATTCCTGTGTAATAGTAACAGCAACATCTGGAGGTAACCTTGGAATGAGCTGGGAAACTCTCTCTCTAACACGAGATCTGAGCAAGCCCTGCACCACATGTTCCAAGGCAGCAATGGGCCCCTGACTCACATGAAGCCCTGCTTGTCTCATTTGCTGGATGAAACCTACAGAGTGACAGCTTCCTTTGCTTCCCCCATCCCTGCTCAACCTGCTCTGCCTTGGGAAACTCTGGATGAACCTTCTTGGAGACTGGTCTGTGCTGGGGCATTTCCTTCCGTGCAGAGAGTTCTATTCCACAAGGAAAGCTTCTCCACTGTCTTAGCACCAAGCATTGGAGTAGAATATACTGTAAGTGATTTTTAACTAAAAGCTAATGTGAAAATAGAACTGAAACCAATGTAAACATATTAAGTATAAAGACTATTTTCAGATATTGTGAAGGGAGAAATGATTGTTCCTTGTCCTTGAAGTCCTAGAAGACACATTTCTCTCTCTGAGTCATGATATATTTTAATATTTTCTATCAGATTTTTTTACAAGTTGTAAAAACACTGCCTTTTATTACATGCATGGAAGAAAATAATTTTTCAACAATTTAACTTGGGCAACTCATTAAAACCAATAAAAACAAGAATATTTTATTTATGTCTTACCAGCATAAGACATAACATATATCTAAAGTGCAATATTTTACATTATATATAGAAAGTCAGCAGCACCAAGATAAAAGTTCATGGAAATAAATACATCATTCAACAAAATAAATTATAGTAAATGTGACAAGAATTGTCTTAGTACAAAAAAATTGCCCAGTATTCACAATGTTCAAATGTGCAATTTTGGAGAGCATCTGCGGCCAAGGCTTCATCCTGACATATTGACAGTATGTACAGATAATAAATACTTCTTTCCATATGTTCAGTATTACAGAATACTGCAATGTGTTTCCCAAAGATCTATGCTAAAGATGTCAACGCCTCCTGCAAAGAAAGGCAAGAGAAAATGGGAAATTAATGTTTTCCATATAATATAACTGGATACAGCAAAAATAGTCTTAGAGATAGGGTGTGCCTGTTGGAAGAGATGATGAACATTCAATATTCCAGCATTTTTATTGCTCAGTCTCTACTATACATGGCTTTCAGTACAATGAAGTTAGCAATGCAGACTACTGAAGTTCAGTCGCTAGTAGCTGATCCTTTGCAGCTGGGTCATGTCTACCCCCTGCCCCTCTCAGCAACCAGCACTGTCATTAGCAATACATCACATTTTAATCACCATGGGATATAGTTTCATTGAATCCAATCTAAAACTAGGTGTGGACTGAAGAACCTCATTCAAGGCCATAATGCTGTTTTGGAAAAGGAACAAGCTAACTTGAAAATATACTATTAAGTCAACCAGCTGGCAAGTACAGCAGCAAAGATGAAAAATTCCATCTTCAAATCTATGTTGGGTAGCCAAGTTCCATGCATGCCTGTTGAACTTTGTTTCCTATGTTTGCATATGCATACGATAGCTTGTTCCAGGTCTGTTCCATCTTTGTCACAGAATTCTACATTTCCTGCTGAGGGTGGCTGCTGCAAGCAGGTTTATTCAGCTCTGAACTGTATTCCCTAGTCTGCCTTGATTCTTATGACCTATCTTAAGAACACCGTAAGGGCTGCTATGCATCAGCTATTACACAGGACAGTCCTCAGCCTGAAAGGCTTTCCCAGGCAAAGGACCATGAGACCTGTTGCCCATGAACCAATCACAGTGGAACAGCGGCCTGAATAAGCAGGCACACTGAAAGCAGCAGCGAGAGTAGAATGATTTTTCTTTCTTTTCTTGAAGAAAGAAAAGAGGTGGGAATGAAATAATAAATGACAACTGAGCCAAGTGTTACTGTATCACGATGTGCATGTAACTGCTTGGTTATCTGATCCAGCACAGATGAACAAATGACCTGTGGGTTAAGCTGTCTGTGACAGCCTGCCAAGTGGTAAGGAGGATTTCCACACAGCAGCCCTCCAATGATTGTTGGAATCCACTGTTGATTCAAAGACACAGAAATCCATGGAAAGTAGTCGTGATTGCAACAGATTGCAAGCTTTCGGATTACTTTCGCACTCCATAGCCTTGTCTTGTTTTTGAATAATGAGGTGGTTCTTACTGAATTGACTGGAGCCAGGACTTCATTTGGTACATGCCAACATGAATTCTAAATTAAACCTGCAGTGTACTCTCTGGAGCAAATAAATTTTTATTTTATACTTGGCGAATGTATGATACTGACAAATATACTTGGCATGTAACAAGGCCATATTTTGGATTGACGTCTGAAATTCCAGATAACTGTTGCATTAATGAAATTCTCTTTCTGCTGAAAATGGTCTTGAACCTTAGCAGCAACTTTCACAGATATCCTATCCAATGTGGAAGGGACTGTGTATGAAATAATATTGGATACTTTTCATTTATACTCATAATTAAACTAAAATACATGGCAGCCACATTGGTGTGATTATATTTGCTTCTTACCTCTTGATCACGCCCATTGTGCAAGCACTTGTGTGCCAATACTACACATTTCTGAAGGTGGTTGGCACTAAAAGTCTGTACTCTATTCCTCAAGCCTTTAAGATGAGCAAGCAATGCTCTGACATGTTTGTTGGACTAATGTATGGAAATTAGTGGGTAATTTGTATACATTTTTGAATAACCTGTATAGTCTCTGCACACATACATATGTTCTGTTTGTGCTGCAGAACAGTAGGAATTTCTGCTTTTTGCTTCCTTGTAGTTCTATAGTTAAAAGGCATAATTAGATTAGCTGTGTGATTATGCATATTAAGGCACAAAGAATAGCAGTGTGCAGAAGTGTGATGCACAAGAAATGTTTGGCAATATCTTTTCTTTTTAATGAAAGAAAGGCATGCCTTTTAAGGAGCATTATTAAGTTAGGCAGCAATGATTTAATCTCACCTAAATGGGAATGTCTTTAACTAGACATCATAGTGGTATGCATGCATTTTATATGGTTCAGGCTTGTAGTGAACAGTAATTTCAACAGTAACAATGAACAATATTTTTGTTGAATATTATATGGTGTATAACATTAGCCAGGGCATTTGCATTTGGCCTTCAGATTCAAAGATGATCTACCACTTTGCAGTGGCTTCCATTTCACCATGGCTGGCACTGGCACCAATAAAGATTGAGTGCACTAATATAGTTACAAGGTTCGCAGAGCTTCAGATCTAATGCAACCCATGAACCACCCTCATAGCTGCCGTCACCACTGCCATCACCCCCACTTCCACCACTGGGGGTAGAAGTGGGGTGGATTAGAGATTCTAGAAGCACTACGTTCTTGCTGGAGAGACAGCTGCAGAGTCCCGGACCTGGACTTTTCCAATACAGACTATTAAAGTGTGGAAAAGCCAACAGAACTCATACAATTGCAATACTACCCTCCCAGAAATATATAGAAGTAGACAGGCATTTTACAAACTTGCTTTCTTGTTGATTCTTACCAGCTGCACACAGATTCATTCTTGATCCTGATTTGAATCCAGAATCAAAAGTGGTAATTGGAGTAATGTGGATCCTTAGAGTATAAGTCAGGATCAAACAAACTTGCAGCGGCAAAAAAAGGGTGAATTGTTTGGAAAGGACTGCAAAGCAATCTTCTCCTCTCTGTATTTGTAACTGCCTGAACCGAATGGAAAATGAATATCTGTTTCCAAACATTGCTATGATGTATGGCACAATATGCTCCAAATACATCTGAGCCATCAAATTTGTTCTGTCTCCCTGCTTTCCAAGGTTTATTTTTTATTCCTAATTTTGTTCATAGTTAATTTTGTGCATAGTTCAAGGTAACCAGCATCACATCTGATGTTAAGTTATGCACAGGGCTAATATGAAAAAACAAAGAGAGGAAAGGAAACCTCAAATAGTATATGGAAAATAGCTAGTTAAGGCTTAACACATTTCTAGGGGCAAATGAAACAGAAACAGTCTAGGGAGGAACATTATTAGGAAGCAAACCCCATTGGATCAAATGGGACTTAATTTTGAGTAAATATGCTTAGTTTTCTATTGTTAGAATGGCTATTTCAAGAATCTGCTATGAAATATTTACCAATTACTGTATTCTCCTTCTGAGCCAAAATGAATAAAACGATAAGAAAGTTCACAGATATTTCAGGAAACTATCATATGGAGACTGTGTAAAACTACAGTACTTAAACTGTTAACTTTTTTTTAAAAAAGCTCTTTCTTGTCATACATGAGAGAAACACGTTTCTCTATCCTCAGGGTAATGCTCAACATTTTTCAACAGCAATGTAATCATTTGACAAGCTGGCAGCAAAATTGGAACTGAACTAACAAGTCCTAATGGCAGGGAAAATATTATGGCAGAAGGCTGGCCAGTGTTACCAGATATTACTAAGTGAAACTTTCCATGTTCTCCCCTAAAGTTAAAAGCATTATAAATTGTTTCAAAGGGTGTAAATTGCTGAAGACAAAGGAGAAGGCACAGCCTATTTTTTCTACATTTACAAACTTTAAACAAGGCTACCATCTAATAATCTCCAACTCCACATGTCTCCATGTTAGAAAAAGAAAAAGCTTGCTGTATTTTTAATAAGTGCAGAAAACTTATTGTACTTGAAACATTTTCTCATACTCTCTGTTGTACAAACTATATACCTTGGTAAATTATGCTAAAGCAGAGGAAGTTACTACTGTGTAGAAGAGGAATTATTTTCCTTTCTCTATATACAATGTACAGAAAATGGAGAAACCTTCCTGTGAAGAAAGAGCAAATTTGGGGTGTCCTTCAGTTCCTGCGTAAAGCCCTATTTATCTGTTCTATCATGTGCAAAGTCCAAGAACCAGCCCATTCTTGCTCAATGAGGCTGCATTGGAGAATTTCCCAGTGGATTCAGCCCCATGTTAATTACTATGTGGGTTTTCTACTTAGGCAGCACATTAACTTGGGCTGGTGCAGCAAATGGATTATTTTTCTTTTTTCAGTAAGACTGAAAAATTACCTTGATTTAACACATGTAGTACTAAAGATGTCCAAGAGGGGGGGTCCATGCCATTCCACTGCCAGACCCTCTTGAACTGGGCCAAGCTGAACGAACCCTCCTTTTTTTCTTCTCTTGCTCCTTACGTTTCCCAGGTTTCCCTTTCTTTTTCTTTCCAGGTGTCTTAATGGGCTGTTCCTTGAATGTCTGAGCTTTGTTGGTCTCCTGAGTCAGGTATTTGCCTTCGTCATCACTGCCAAATCGGACAGCATAGTTCTTTGCAATGGTGGCAGGTTTAGGGTTAGGGGATACCTCTGACATAGCCCGGATCTCAGCTGTGTTCACCCCTTCAATTAGGTTTTGCAGGAAATTTCTTCTTCGTATATCTTGCAAAGACTTTCCTTTGTCATGCAACAGCTGATATTCAGAAACTGTCCTTTTGCTGCTTAAAAAACATAACATCAGTGATCAAATATTGCTGAGCCAGTGTGGTAAACCCTATCCTTGGTAGGTGTACTAAGCACATTCCAGCATGCCAATCTTCCACTTTGGGGGTGGGTGGGAAAAGTAATTTACCCTTCAATACTACAGAAACTGATAAGCCAAACTTGAAATAATTAACTCATTATCTTACATTTGACCCAATGAACTGGCTTAGCTATCAAAGAAAACCATCAAAGATTGCTAAAGACATTTGGGGAAATGATACATGTTTTGCAATTATTCACCTTTGTATGGGAGTAAATCTTTCTAGCGCAGAGAAGCATTATTGTTCTTTCTGATATTAACTTTGTAGCACCAGACCCAATGGAACTTGTCCCCTCCTTGCTGCACTCTTGTAGAATTAGAAGCCTATGAGGTGACTCCTTCTCAATTTCCAGGAGAGGAAATGCTGGCATGTGGAGAAGCTGTGCCTTGAGATCTGCATGCATGGCCTGAAGCCTCTGATAACAGCAGGGCAGCTGAGGGAGGGGGCACAGCTCAACCGCTCCCCCACCACAACAGTAACATCAGAATGGGCCCTTAGGCATCTCATGGCTACAATGACAATGTAGCCATGTAGCTGTGCCTGTAGTTCAGAGGTAAGCACTTTCTTTTAGGTTTTAAGAGATTGAGGGCAGAATTGTATGGTGGTTTGACTGACTCTAGAAGGTCATAGGATTTTTTGGAAACTCGCTCTGAGGCAGAGCTGGGACTCCTATCCACTCTTCCAGCTCCAAGGTCATAAGAGTAACCATAGAGGTGGTGTTTTATGGACAGGGATGGGAGAAGACTGGTGGCCAGCATACTGAAATCAGCTGTCTGAGTTTTTTTCAGAGCAGAAGCGTGCAAGTGACCTTTACTTCCTTGCTCCTTCTACCCTCCATGGGATGCCCATAATCTTCCAAATGTGTAGCCTCACTGGACTGCACCTTTATAAAACATCATGGTGTTAATACATTTCATCGCTTGGTTCATTGTGGCCTTTGATGGTGAGGTGTTTGTTTTCTCTTTGAAGATCTTGGATTGACTTACAGTTTAAGAATGTATGAGCACTGCAAAATGCTGGCAGGGGAAGCCTCTTGCTCTTTAAAGGTTTCTTGCTATTAGGTGGAATAATTGGCAAGTACTTTCTGGAGAATAGAGATGGCACAAAAAGAGTGACAGCAAAAAAAAAAAATGGTGCAAGGGAGACTGAGGGGAAGAAAATGTATTAATCCAATTTGTTACAGGATTTTGGAATAGTAGAAGAAGGGTGTCTGAATTCTATGTTCACTGAGGACATTCTAATTTCCAGATAGTGGGCTAAGCAAGCTGACCTAGAAGTTGGGTCAGGCCTCATAAAAAGGTTATGGAGCATCAGGAACTTTTGTCTTGAACTGTAACTGGGACACTGTATAAACATCCAGAGAAAATGATCAGATGGATTAACTCTCTCACACAGCTTGAAAATAAACCTTTCCTGTGTCTTATACATGAAACCATAAGCATATCTATTACCACAGCTTTGTTAAAACCTGGCAGGGTGCTTGAAACATGGTAAGGTTACCAAGGGCCAAACAAAATTGCTGTATAGCATGGGTACTCTGAGGGCAAAAATTGGCCTGCTGTTCACAGTTGCAGGATTTATACTCTCAACAGACAGGGCAGCTTCAGTGTTAGGCTGTTTTCTTGATGCCAAACTTTCACATCTTGTATGAACCCATTGGTGCTACAGCATACATCCTCTGATGTGCCCTCCCTCACCTTTTTCTATTTGCACTTTAAACCTTTCCTAGCTTTTCGAGGCAGCAGTTCCTAGCTTTTCGAGGCAGTGGTTGCCCGTGTCACATCAGTGACAAGCCTCATTCTTCAGAGCTTTCTCAATGTTGTGATATTAAGCAATGGTTTAGCCAGGTATTTTGCAAGCAGTTCATACTTGAATAACAAGGGAGGAAGGGAAACATGGTCCACAGAAACCATATTGTGGTCCAACAAATTATCAAAAAGCAGCCTGAGAAATAATTAACCATGGGAAACAGTGTATTTTCCCCTTAGGGTAAGGAGGATGCACTGTGAAGTGCAGGGAAAAGTAGGAGGTGGGATCTTAGGTTGGTTCAGAGGCATACCACAAGTAGCCTGTGTTTTTAGTCTGCTTGCAGCAGAATGTGCTGAGGCATTCATATAGCTTCCTTCATTGCATGAATGTATTCCTGGTCAAGGAAGGGGATGTTTTTGGTCTGTTTACTTGCAGATAAAGAGCCATTGCATAATAAACTGGCACAATGACTTATTATATTGAGAAGTATTAAAATATGGGAAGGGTAAGAACCTGGTATCAAGTCATTCTTGTCATATTAATCAAGTTTGAATTAGAACTACACAGAGATTGCCTGTTGTGTGTGTAACTCAAAGACTGGGTATTCTTAAATATTAAAATGCATTGCAGGGCATAGCTACCTCAGGCCTCATGGCTCAAGCCTCATATAAATGCTCTTTGCTTATTTACTTGACATTTCGTGACTGGCATGTGTGAAGTGCTTATTGAAAAGTATTGTGTTTGAGATTGCCTTAAGGGTCATAAAAGCTCTGTTTGTGGTGTGTGGTATGCAGCATTCCTTTGAACAGGTATAGTTATAAGTGGCCAAAAGACCCAGTTACACACTAGGAAGTTCCCAGTCTCACCTTAGCCCTGAACATTGTTGGCCTTAGGCAAACTTTTCTCCCTTTTTCAGCCTCTGCAATAGCCATAGCCACGGCCATAGCAATGTACCTCTATCTTTCAGAGTTCTAATGGTTACTTGAGATAATATAGGTAAATATTGTTAGGACCTGAAGATGCCACATAAATAAAATCTTGTTACAGTACATGTCGTGTAATCATGTCATCCAGTTGCATACATAAGTAAAGCATTAGTTTAGACACTGGAGTCAATTGCTAATCCAGTGCAATGCCATCAATCTGAAGGAAGTCAGGTTTCTGGGGCCTTGAAACAACCTGGGGAAATGATATTTGTAAACACTGGTGATATAGAGTTAGATAAGCAGCTTTGCTGTAAAAAGCATGCCTTGATATCCTTCCAGTAAGAATAATGCCCATCAAACCTGGCTTTGTGCATAGATGTCCTGTAGCGTCTGATGATCCCACTGATATGATACATCAATTATGTAGCCATTATTGGTACTGTTAATATCTTGTTGAAGCTAGCAGCAAAACATCAAATGCACATGCACATGCACACATGCACCTGATTGCTGAAGCAGTCTGTACTCCAATAAAAATGTATGTGCACTTTAGCTCAAAAAATCACAATAGGAGTAATTTTGCTCTGGGAAACCCTTGATTTAGCACCATGTGTAATGTGTGTTCTGGAATATCAACTTCAGAAATATATGCATGTCTTTTAAAAGAAAAGCAAAAACATTCATGCACCCCATGAATGGATGGACATGCAAAGAGGTTGAAGAAAATAAAAATATGCATTTTAAATATTATTGTTTAGACCAATAGGCAATGTAGATCTACTTAAAATTAAAGAGCTTCTCTTAAGACACAATCCCTATTATAGTCTCAGAACAGGCCAGCTGATGAATCTAGAACTTTGCTGTTCATGGTGACTCATATTACAGTTCTATTAGCTTTTTTTTTTTTTTTTTGCAGGATGTTGTCATCAGAAATCTTTCTTAACATTCTAAATTTTAGTTTTACTTAATTTACTGAATGCTAGAGTGACAGGTCTAGCTGCCACTTTCAAATCATTCTGTAAATTCTCCCCACTTATTCTCTCCTAGATTCAGTTCTGCCTCCCTCTCTCCTCTTTTACCTCCCTCGCACAAACAAAATACTTCCTTCCCTTAGACCCTATTTTCCCCAGTTTTCTGTGATCCTTACTTCCCCTTTAGAATTAGAAGTTGCATTCTGTCAATATTCTATTGTCAGAGATTGGCCAATTTCAGTGGCCAATTTTTGATGGTGACCTCATAACAGTTCAGCCAATGGCTGGTAGGCACTTCTTAGGCCAAAAGAAGCCTAAGACTCTTGGCATGCTCCATGTAACACACAGTTTTATTGATATTCAGTATGTATTTCCAAAACAATTTGTTGCATGTGCTAGCACGGAGTAACTTTTGTTGCAAAATTGAACTACAACGGATGCTTGCAAATCTGAGTCTGTTTTATGAGGTTATATAACATTATTTACTCTTACTCTGCAGGTATGAAGGTAATATTTTTCATATATTTTCCAGTATACATTATGAATCCAAAATCATTTGAAGTGAAAAAATTGCTACCTGGAAAATGCTTCAGTGTAACCTTTGCAGTGATTTGTCTGTTAGGAGGCTGAATATATGTCAGACTCAGAGGTAACCTGCTGTGAGTCAAGCTGTGGCAGCTGCCCTGAGATTTTGAGGTGATATTTAAGGATGGCAGGGTGGGTATTAGGCAGGTCTGACCCTGGTGGCAGACACTGTTGGGAAGCACTCCTGTGCCAGTGTCACTGAGTCCTGCTCTTGCACAGTTCCCATTCATTGCCACATGGAGAATTTCTCAAAGAATTGTGCTCCATGTAGGGAGAGGGTGCCATTTGGATTTCTGAGCATATCATTCCAGCCTTCAGGTGGGAAAAGACAAGGCTCTTAAACAAGGTTTCAATATCAGTTGTGTAGAAGTTCAAAATTATAGGTTTAATATTAAATTATTTTTCTAAACAGTATGCATTTTGATATAATGTGCTGCAGTTTCCTTTTATACTTAACAATAGCTACAGTATCATCCCATATCAAACAGTCATATACCAACACTCGTACATAAGTTTTGTTAGTAAACGTGTCAGTTTTGAAGTTAATTGCGTAGTTTCTGCATGCACAGTTTTCCTATCTACATCTTCTCTTGGATGTGATGTGACTGAGGAAATTGTTGAATAATACTCATTCAGTTGTACTGAATTAGTGAACTGGTCACAACTATAGACACTTGTGTGAATTGTCTGTGTCTTAAAGGGAAGGGGCACAGGGCCATCTGCAATCTCTAAATACCCTCATACTCTCCATGTTAGTCTGTTAAAACAAGTTCTTAAAAAAATTAGAGCTGAAACATTGGCAATGTAGCTTAAAGGATCCCTCTCCAGCATTCTTTCTCCCATCCCATGAAAATGTATGAACTGAGAGAGGATTAAATTTGATTAGGTGTGCCTAATAACTGAAGTGGATTAAAAAGAGTGCCAAGAAGATTAAAGGTTTAGGAACTGTTAGGATAACCCACTAGAGGTCCCTTCCAGCCTGCAAGATAACTTAAATGAAAAGAGGTCTGCCCCCAAACCAGATGCAGTTAATGCAATGCTAACATGTGGTAAGCAATTTTGAGAGAAAGGTTGAGTTTATGGTTTCTCTCTGCCCAAATGTACCCACACATATTATTTAATGTTGTATGCTGTGTTCATAGAGCTATCCTTCTATTCCATGTATATGGCTCTGCTATGAATTCAGTATAGTAAATGTGGTAGTTGGGTTAAACTGCTAATCCTCAAAAGAAAAGATGGTTAACCAGTCATCATTAGTAAAGTGTCCACTGTTGATGTCTTGTTCACCATAACTTCAGTCATTCTGGCCTTGTCTTCTGCTGACTTGCAAAACAACCCACTCTCAGTAACTGCAGCTTGCCTCCTTACTCCAACCTTCAGGGATATATACGCTACTTCCAAAATATTTTCAGATCAGTGAGGCACAGTTGGAGTTTGTCATGGAGTTAGTGCTACAGGGATAGACACTAAGGTTACAACATTGTATGCCTGGGCTTCTTCATTCTGCAGCTTTTTGAATCCAGAAATCCCATTTATCAAACTGAATTACCAATTCAGCATAGTTTACATTAAGCTAACCTAAGCTTACATTAAATGTATTATGTAATAAAGCACAGGTTTAGTTATTGTTTATTGGCTTTATTCAGGAAAAACACTTCATACATAAACAGTGCATTAGTTTGGATATTGCCATTATCATCAAGGTGAGTGAGTATGAACTTTGAAAGTCCTATTTACATTAGACTAATAATCTGAGTGTTTAAGTAGGGCTAATGGCTTTTAAAGAAGATAGCAGTTTCTGAAAAAATGTTCCAATTCAGATTGTCATGGTTAGGGGCAAGAATTAACAGAAATTCAAACATGGATTTTCTGCATAACTTCAGTGGGAAGTACAATTTCTAGGTAAAAGGCTGATCAAGGTTTGCAGGCAAATAGTATTAAGGGGGAGAAAGTGTCAAGTGGTCTTATTCTCAGTGCAGTGGCTTTTCCTCAGTTGCCTAAGGTGGTGTAAAGAATTTCCTTTGGGGCAAAGTTCATGCATCTAATTTGAATGGGTCTTTGGTTATCTATTGCAGAACCAATGGACTGCATCATGTGAGTTGCTTTTTGATTCTCTCTATGCCTAAAGACTAATTTCAGTATTATTAGTTTCATTGTTATTACTTATTACATTTCCTTACTGCTTAGTAGCCAAAGCTGTTTAGGACTTCTGTGTTTAGAAGAGATATGTGCTCTTACCTTATCACTAGTTCGGCTTTTGGGCATTTCCTCCCCATGCTGAACACTTAGCCCAGAGTAGAGATTTCAGGATCAGGGCCTTAAGCAACTAAAAGGTCCACAGAGCATCAGTATGTAACCACAGTGTGGGATTATTGACTTGGGTGGTTTCTCTGAGTTTTGCCTACATATAATTCATATTACTACCTGACTGAGCAGGGAATACATGCATACTTAGGGTCCTTTCTCAGACTCCCTTATCTCAAAAATCTTTTGTTGCAGCAAACAAATATTTAACTCAGACTGGAGAGCTAATACTAACTGGCACAAGCCCCATGTGGGTGAATGCAATGTCTCTGATTTAAGTGCTGTGTGTATTCTCCCACAGGGCTGTCCATGTTGCTGGTACCTATTATTTATTTATTTATTTATTTATTTATGGATTTATATCCTGCCTTTTTCCTCAAAGGGCTCAAGGCAGCTTACATCATTCTCCTCCTCCATCTTATCTCTACAACAACAACCCTGTGAGGTAGGCTGGGCTGAGAGACTGGCCCAAAGCCACCCAGTTGGTTCCATGGCTGAGCGGGGACTCGAACCCAGGTCGCCTGAGTCCCGGTCCCAGCTCTTAACCACTACGCCACACTGGCTCTCTCAGCATCAGAAGGCTATAATGAGCCTCTTATTGTAGCAACCTTACATATGCAATAGGAAGCATGCATGTGTGCACATATGTGTGTGTGTGTTTGTGTGCGTGTGTGTGTGCATGTAATCATACTCACTAGAGGTGGGACCCCCCCCCCCCGTTCATGTCCTTTAAGGACAGCGATTGTTCTTCTTATGCAGTGCCAGTAATTACTGAGGGAGATTTTAACCTCTTCTCTGTTCTTCTAAATATTCTGGTATCACTCCCCATTTGCTCCATCATTAAGATTCTTTTAAATGCTCTTATGGACATAAAGAGCCATTTTGACTTTTAAAAAATGGAAATCCTGAATGAAGAGGCAAAAAGATTCCATGCTCTTTTCTTTTAAAAGGGAGCGTTCCTCATCTATTGCCTTACTGAAGTTAATCTAAATATATCATCATCATCATAATCAATGGTAAGGTTTGTAATCTGAACAATGACTTCATGAACTGACTTTAGGGTACATAAACTTGGTAGGACTTACTTCTAAATAGACATTCTTAGGATTGCACTGAATTAATATGATTCAAGCAACTTTCTCCTGTGAAAGGCTGAAATACCAATGTGAAGATGAGCCGTAGTTTCTAGGACTTCCTATGTACATGTGTCCAAATGCCCCCCCCGCTTCGCGCTTTGATTCTAATGGCAGAGGAAGAAGAAACTTACAGTCTGCGACTGCTCCCTTCCAGCGATCTCCCAGAAGAAGGTACACAGTAACTCAGCAGAAAGACCACGAAACTCCACTGCTGGAAACGCTTCGGGAACATTGTCGCGATGCTGTGGGGCTTTGGAACCTGCGAAGAAGCAGCTCCGATGAGTGTCCGCGCGCGCGAACGAGAAGCGCAGAAAACGTGGAGGTCGGAAGGAGGCTGGGGGTCCCGCGCGCCACTCGCCCAGCCACCGCCCGTGCTTGAGGTCAGCCGAGCGCCTGGGTGCGCGGAGCCCGGGCACGCAGCCTGAAGCTGATCTGCGATTCCGGGAGTTCCTGATCCCCGGAAACGGACCCGCCCCGTAAAGCAGCCACCCCCCCCCCCCAAACATTTCTTTCCCCCCAGGTTCCGGGGAATCGCACTAAGCAGGCATCACCACCGTCGGTCCGAAGAGAATCTCGGAATCAAGGTACAGGTCAGGGGTTTCCGGCAAGTTGCCTCCTCTCCCTCTCCCAGCCCTGGTGCGCGCACACACGAAACGATGTAAAGGGCGGAGGAGGAGGCGGCACGGCAGGCAGCAAGAAGACCCGCCGCCGCCGCCGCCGCCTCCGGGAAACCTGCTGGAGGTGGAGGAGGAGGAAGAGGAGGCGGCAGTGTTGCTCCGAGATGGCGCCCTAGGAGCATGTGCCCGAAGTCAGCTCTAGGCACAGCGCCTAACCCATAGCCGAAGACCGCAGGCCTCCCACGCCCACCAGAGCTGCCGTCGGGAACTTCTGGGCCACCGAAGCTCGTCGAACGGAAATTCGGTCTGGGCTCCCTGAAATTGGAAGACTAGCACACACTGGAGAAGGCTGCCTTGGAACTTGTACCGCTGATACGCTCGTCTTCTATTTGCGGGAAGGGCGTGCTTGTTTAACGTGGCGGAACCCTAAAATGATGGTATGACCCATCCGCCTCCTGAAGCGGGCAGCCCATACTCCTCTGGCGAGTGCACCTACCTGTTTTTCCCGCGCCGGTGGAGCTGGCCCTCGCAATCCCACGGACCGCCCCGAGCCCCTGGCGGCAGGCCAAGCTCCCTCCGCCAGTTCCTTCCACGGCTCCCCCCCACCCCCAGAAGCGGGCATCCTCTCTGTCAAGACGAGGATGCCAAAGAGCCGTCTTGAGACGGGTGGGGTCATGGTACCCACTTCCTTCAGACTCTCGGGTGGTCGTCTACTAGCAGCTGATTGCAAACTTCAGGTAAGGAAGGGCCAGGGCGCCGAGGCCCCGCTTGTGGGAACACTCCCGCGCGCTGCTGAGCAAAGCGCTAGCCCCCGCCTGCTTCGCGGACGCTCACTTAAGCGAAAGGCGATCCGGCCCTCTTGCCGAAGTGTCGCACAGATCTGTGCGAAGTTACGCAGCATGGGGGGAGAAGCAAAGTCCCCTCTCTTTAATGCTCCTATGTGAGAAAATACTCGGGGTCTGGCTAATATTTCGTGTTTGCCAGCTGTGAACAGCTGGAGTCCAGCCAGACCTCGCCGTCCCTCCCTTTTCTGTTAACCCTTTAATTCCGGCAGGCTTGGACGTGGTCCCGGTTCTCAGCCTGCGAGCTCTCGCTCCAATGACAGTGCGACGGCGCGCAACGTGCGACAGCAAGAGGTTCCCAGACTCGAGGTAGGCATTAGAAAACCTGGCGCCAAAGGTAACAGAAGCCCTTTCCGTCTGTCAGCCCCACTGTGCAAAGCGCTTGCTCAGGCACTGATATTAATCAGAGAGAAAATGTTCAGGCGTTGAGTTTTTTAACTAAATTCTGACGCGTGAGATTGAATACTGAGATAATGAAAGAGAGGATGTTGAATTCAGCTTGCTCTGCTTTTTCCTGCCGCTTTACACCAAATGTCCCCAGTAACTTTGCTACCTGCCTGGGCGAAGTTTCTCCGCAAGCCTGAAGCTCCCACGAGCATCTCGGACACGAAGGCCAAGCTGCAGGTGGCACTCCGCCAAGGAGGTCTGAGTCTTTTCCGTGCAAATCAGAAGGACCAGCTATTCTGGAAACGAGCCAACTCCTGAATATAGCTGCTGCTGCTGCCGCCTCCGCCGCCGTAATCAGTGAGGAACTTCTCTTCTTTGATCTATTTTACATCTGCGTGAGCTTAAGCTCTCGGTGACGCGCGGCCCCGCCCTATGTAATATATACTCGGAAGTAAGTGTCGGTGAGATCAGCGCAGCGAATTCCCAAGGAAGCGTCGCTGGGAACGCACACGGGCTGAACCACGGACCTTGCGGGAAGGGCTCCGTCACACGGAAGGTCATCGAAATAAATGGGATTGGCCGCTCCCCATTATTTCCATGGGGCCCCGCAGTAGTGCGTCCCCTTATCGCCTTAAAGCCGAATACTTAAGACAGGAAGTTCAATTACTTTAGGAAAACGCGCGCGTGCCTTGAATGTTTGCCGTGCGTATCACGAGTACGCCCCTGGTACAATGCTTAAATATATTCGAATTGAGCAAAGTCCCGTTGATATCATCGGTAGAGAGCCGAGCAGGTGCTTCGCTTTCCCACTGAGATCAACGGTACTGCTAGATTGTGGTCTTCGCTAGGCACCCCGCACGCCGTGAAGCCCCGCCGGGGCGCTCTCGGGAAGTTGGGTCCCGCGAGGGAGTCCGGCTGTGGGCATGGTTAGGCCGAGGTAAGGTCCCCGGGCTCCGCGGCGCCTGTCCCCACGCTCGTGCGCACAGGGGTGCAATCGGAAGTATTTAACTCCGACCAGCACTGGCTTGCGCTCAGCATTAGTTTACCTTGTTGGAAAAGACAAAAGACAGATTATCCAGTCCCCCAAGGCAGATGCAAGTACGCTCTGTACAAATGCACGACACAGACTATACGTTAATCAGCTGCTAGACTTCTTCTGCCTGCGTTTTCCCAGATTCTTAGCAAGAGAACCCCTCCCTCGCCAATGACTAGAGACCTTAACCTCCGTCGCCTGCCTCTTTTCTTGCTGCTGTTATGCCTGTAGAATTTACTGTGCGAAACGATTAAAAATTCTTAACTGGCTTAGAAAAACAAATAGGTTCTTTTTAAAGAAAAACACCAACTTGGAAAACTGAAGTTCCCCCATAATTCATTACTTCACCTTTTCCTTGAGTGCTATTCCTCTGTGCCTTCTCAGGGATCAGTCTGGCCAAGACAAAGTTGAATTTCTCAGCAGTCGCTTCCAAAATTTATATTGCCTTCTCTTGCTCTCTCGCCCCCTCCCTTTCTCCCTCGAAACCAAGCCAGTCACAATAGGAGAAATCTCCCCACACCGATCCAGTAATCCACCCTAGGCGTTTTTTTATTCTGCATGGAATAAATGAACATAATCTAAAATAAAGTAAAATAAAGTAAAAACATAAAAGCACGTGCTTTCTTTTCTCTTACTCTTTGAACCACTGGAGGAAGAGAGAGGGGTTCTCTTCATTTATACGGGAACTGGGGAGGGGTGGGAGACCCCCTCTTTTTGTTTACTCTTAACGTGTGAAGTCACACAGCCTCAGCCTCCGTTGAATGGGCCTCGTGGTCACGTGACTCCCAGGATGGCTCTCTGGACCTGCCCGAGAGTCTGGAGCTGGTTGGAAGGCGAACGTCACGTCCCAGCCATGCCTCCAGCAAATGGAGGTGAGAGGGAGTTGCCGGCTTTATCCTCCTGCCGTCATTGGCCGACTTGCCACCTACTGGGATGCCTGCGCTGGAGCTGTTCCGCTCGAGGTTGCTTCGCCCATCCTCGTCAGAGCCCTTCCCCGCTACCACTTTTGGAAGTGCTGTCTTCTTCCCTTTGCTGCTTCTCCTAAGCATACCCCCCCCCCCGAAGAAAAAGGAGCTCTGGGGAGACAAAGGCGAGGAGCTTCCTCTAGTTCCCTTCAAAATAAATCATTGGTTTACGGGTTTTGTCTTTGATTTAACCATTGCTTGTCCGCGTTTTCTAGAAGTAATTCCCTAAGCAAAATGCTTTTTCCTACATGCTTGTGCATGATTCCAGACCTTTTGTATGCTTTTATCTGATTTAACCCCTGAGTTTTTACATCCTTTCCTTCACAGCTTTTTCATTATCACCATCATCATTAAGTTCTTCGCATTCCAGAAAGTCAGTCTCAGATCTTGGGCTGATGAAGTTGAGGCACTGTCTATGAAGTAATTGTCTATGAATAACCTTTTCCTGAGTAATGGGGTTGAAGATCCTGTGTGTGCTGAGACTATTCCAGCACGTTCTTAAGCAGGCTTGGCAAGTGAATCTGAGGGGTTTTTCACTAGTGCATGGGAGATCACTTTGGTTCAACAAAATCCCAGAGATGACTCAAGACATTTTTGATCCACCCATCTTTCCTTTGCAGATGTACTTTCTGCCTAGTAATGCATTAATTCTTGCCTTCCCTCCATCCCTTACCATACATGCATATGTGTATGGTAGGTTTATAGAACTTCCCGTCCTTTTCTTATCTCCCCTTCCCCTTTTCAAATGTGTTTCTGCAAACTAGCTTGGAATGGGGCACTTGAACAGTAAGCAGGTTTATTTTCAATCCTCTACATGTTTACTGAGTTCAATGGCACTTAATCCTTGATAGGAAGCCTACAAAAAGGTGTCACCTCAACTTTTGAACATCGCAGGTAAGTGATAGTTCAGCTCACACAATTATGTATTAACAACTCTGTCTCCCTCACAACACTGTTCAACAGGCAAAGTACAAATCATCCAAAATGGTTTTTATGTATAAATCTTCTCATGTGTGCAATTCACCCAGCTATTGCAAAAGTTCATGATGATCTATCATGCCTCCTAGGAAGCGGCCCTCCCACATAGACGTCTGGGATAATCAGCCTCTTGTTTCCTGTAATCAGAAGTAGCAACTCTCTGCCCCTGACACTTCTTGATAAACTCCTTGCTTGCAGGAGCTGTTTCCACTTTTCTTGCTGGATGATTATGAACATTTAGGACAAAATATAAGTGAAGTGATATACAAAACCTGCTGCCTGGTCCTTAGAATCTAATAAACTCTCTGTGTGTCTATTGTAGATTGACTTTCGATTTTGAGAAGGGCAAGAATTCAGTTATTTAATTCATAAAGCCTGTTCCCTCTCTATATATAACTCCATGGTGAATGTTGTTGGTGTCTGATTTTGGTGTGTAGACTGTGGAGCATGGCATAACTCCAGGGGTGGATTTTTTTTTTTTAAAGGCTATGGCTCCAGTGGAGCTTATGAATGCGTTGGGCTGGATGCCTGGCTAAACCCAGTGAGCTGTCCATGGTGGTTACAGGCCAGAGCTACTTGGTAGAAGTTTCTCTCCTGTCATGGTAAGTTGCAGCCAGCCCCTGCCCCCACTCCTTCTCACAGTGTGTCTTTTCTGTAACCACCATTGTAAAAGGAGGCTGTGGAGAGACAGAAGCTATTGGGAATGTCAGCACTGAAAGGCACTTCAAAACCATCAGTCACATGCACTTGGGAGGAAAATAAATATGTGGTCTGAAAGAATCACTCGTCATTCTGAATGATTATGTTATATGGTGCCATCAGTGCACATCCCTGGTAAGCAACTTGCTTGCTGAATGGAGATAATGCGAATGGAGTGTTGGGCCTAGGGCCTACTCTTTGGCTCTTGTCTCCCTTCTATTAGCCCTTGCTCATTCAGCATTGCCAGTATAGATCATCTACATAAGAGTCTCTCTTTCCCTTGAGTGCCTCCCTCCATATTCTCCCTTGCCAGTTGTCCAGAATGCCTTCCAGAACCTCTGCAATGTCAGATTTCTTTTGTGAAACCATCTGCTTAGCCCCTTAGTTGTTATTCCCACCTTTAAAAGAACTGTAACACTACAGAGGGGATTTTATCCTTAAGCTGGCCTAAAAAATGTCTAAATACAATGAAGATTGTGTAACAACAATTGCTCACACTCATCTCATTTTACCTTTTCCATTGTTTGCCCAACCTTCCTTTCTTGTTTTCCCAGCAATAAAATACGCACTCACATGAGATCACTATTGGCCAGGTGGGAAGTTAATTCGCTTATGCTTTGAAATTCCAATGTTAGGAAAGATAATGGGAGCAGAAGGAAGCTATGCAAAATCCATGGTCAGTGTCAGTGAAGTCAGGTTTATACAAGTAGACTTCATACCAGGCTGCCCTTAATCCATGGAAACATAGAAACAGAGCGAGTCAGAAGGGGCCTCCTGGGCCATCTAGTCTGACCTCCGGCACCAGCTGGCTCCGCTCACGGCATGCCCACCATGTGCACGTCCAGCCTATCTTTGAACACCCTCACCGATGGGGCCTCAACGACCTCTCATGGAAGCCCATTCCACACCCTCAGGGTCCTAACTGTCAGGAAGTGCTTCCTGGCATCTAAATGAAACCTTGGCTCCCTGAGCTTTGCTCCATTGGAGCACGTCCTGCCTTCCTCTGCAGGGGAGAACAAGTCTCTACCCATCTCCATGTGACATTCCCTCCCATACCTGTATGTCACCAACATAACCCCTCTGAGTCTCCTGTTATCCAGGCTGAAGAGACCCAGTTCCCTCAGTCTCGCCTCATACTCCATCCCCTGCAAACCGGCCACCAACCTTGTGGCCCTACGCTGTACTGACTCCAACCTGGCTATATCCTTTCTGTAATGAGGGGCCCAAAACTGAGCACAATACTCCAGTTGCGGGCGCACCAGAGTCATATATAGTGGCAGTAATACCTCTCTCGATCTAGAAGCCACACTTCTGGCTATGCAACCAAGGGTGCATAGATTAACTAAAACTCTATGCATACACACACACTCTCTCTCTCTTAGACAGTGCATGTGTTTTGTGGTAATATACTATATTTTAGAGCCAAACATGAAATATTTTTGGGGTACACATTAAAAAGGTATGGTAGGTGTCACATCTTAGAACTTGGAATAGAAAAAGCAGTCAAGCTGGCATTTTTCACTTGCCAGGACTGTGATACAGAGCGATCATCAAGTCTAATCTTTTAATACATTTTGCATTTGTTTTCTCTTTGGTTTTTATTTGATTCACAATACTCAGAAAGTGATTTGGAAAGGAAAGGTGATTGTTTAGTCCTAAAGCATGTGCTGTGCATGCAGAAGGCTTCAGATTCAGTCCCAGGAATATACTGGTTGGGGATGGGGTGTGGGGAGACACTCTGTGAAACTCTGAAAAGCTGCTACCAGTCAGTGTATACTGAGCTGGTTGAAAGAATCTGTCTGGAGGACAGAATGTGGCCTAAGGGCCCCGTGCAGCCCATGATGCCCCTACTGTGATCCTCACTACCTCCACTGCCATGTTTGCCATGCACCAACATTTGAAAGCAAATGAAGGCACAAATGTCATCTGTGGCAGCTCAGGAGAAACCTTATAATGCTCTGTAGTGTAACAGACCTCTGTATTTTTTCATCCCTGTACTAATTACAGTCTCTGGTTTGTTTAGTAAATGAGTATTTGCAAAAGATTTAAATGTGTAGACACTTCAATATTGCCATTAGCCCTTTAAATAAAAATACACCAAATTTAAAATATTCACATTCACCTCTGTATGTGAAAGTCAGCTTCGGAACATAACCTTTGAACACTTTGAAATTTAAAAAAAAATCTTGCTTGGGCTTCAGATACAAAATTGTGAGGCCAATTGAATACCCTTAGGTGGCAACTATCAAGAAAGCTTGAATTTCAGCCATCAAATACACTTTGAAGCAAATGTCAAATGTTTAATATGGATATCAAATATCTGGTGAATGGTCAGTCAATATTTGGGTGCTGAATTTCTAGAAATATTTGTCAAAGTTCTCTAAGGATAACTCTAAAGAGTAAATTTATGTCAGTTTTTTTAATAGAAACATGGCAAAAATACAAAATAAAGCCTACAGAGCAAAGGACAACATTTTCTAACAATGTCTGCAGGGCTTGTTGTGTGTTAAAGGATGTTACTGTTACTGTCACATTACTTTTATGCCCCACCTTTCTTCCACTTGCAAGGAACCCAAGGTAATTTCTAAGGTTTCTCTCCTCTCCATTTTATCTTTACAACTGCACTGTGAAATAGGTTCAGCCAAGTCTGTGACTTATCCAAATTCACTCAGTAAGCCTCATGCACGAGTGGAGACTAGAACCTGGAATTCTTGAGTTTCTGTTCTACACTTTCTAACCACTATGCCGTGCAGGCTCTTGGTTTCTAATAGCATCACTCTGGAAGAAGTTTGAGAGATGCAACTTTAAAATATCAAATAACTTGGGACCACTTGGGTAGCTGAAGGATTACTTCCCTAGCATGAGCCTGTTCATATG